AGTTACCTTCGTCAAGAAGCTTCACAATCCTCTCTTTTGTTTCAAGAGACATTTCTCTTGTTGGAGCCATGGCTCTTGCCACTCCACTTTGTCCAGCAGCCCTCCAAGGTGTCATGACTGCAGRTGTTTTTAACTGCAGACTAACGAGCAGATCTAATCTGAGGCAGGTGTCCATTTAGGGAAAAGAAATTGACTGGGTGTGTCCGTATTTTCTACCTCCAATTTGAGTGATTCCATACTTTTTTCCTCAGAGCTGAGTGATTCCATTTTTTTCCCTGTGCTTGGTCAATAAAAGTAACATTCACTGACTTCCACAATGTTTTCTCTTCATTTCTTTGAGTGTTCCTGAAAGCCAACAAGTTACACTTTGGAATGACCTTATTATTGTATCATGTTTTTGATCAGAGTTTGTTTTACAGAATGAAAAATAAGATTGGAACATTGAAGGTGTATTGTGATCTTATAACACCTGACTGTGTCAGTTATTACAAAAAATCTGTATTTGCCAAAATAGGACTTTTTAAAGACTGTTGATTGGCCAGAAAACTGCAATCGTGAACCCCTGATGAAGTGATTTAGTGCACTTTTTAGTATCTGATCACAACCCTTGATTCTCAAAAGCTAAACATAAATGACTGTGATACAACACACATTTAAATCTCTGATCTGGAAAATCTTCATTAAGTTTATTATGGCTGTAAAATGTCATTTTTGTTTGTCGGGCAATGCTTTGGCAATTACAATTCCCGCAAGCACAGGTATACCAACACACACACATTTGTATTTCTATCAATATTAAGCTCATACATTGACTTCCATTCAATTCCATTCATTTTTGTAGCCTAATCGTGGCCTTTACCCTACCTCTACCCCACCATTAACATCACCCTATCCTAAACTCAATTCACATCTTAGACCTAAATCTAACCCCTGACCCAAAAAATAAAATATTGATCCTGACAAGGTAGGCGTGTATACCAGAAAAGGTCCTAAAAAATAACAAAAACCAGGTATACACACGTATGTATGACGGAGTATTAGGGTGACACAAAGAGATTTTTTTAATTATTATTACGAGATTAAAGTCGTAATTTTATGAGAATAAAGTCATAATATTAGGAAATTAAAGTCATAATATTACGAGATTAAAGTCATAATATTACGAGAATAAAGTCATAATATTACGAGATTAAAGTCGTAATATTACAAGATTAAAGTCATAATTTTACGAGATTAAAGTCGTAATATTACAAGATTAAAGTCATAATTTTACGAGACTAAAGTCGTATTATTACAAGATTAAAGTCATAATTTTACGAGATTAATGTCGTAATTTTACGAGAAAAGTCATAATCATGATGTGTCTATTTCCTGTTCCTCATTTCCTCATTTTCCTCACACCTGCTATGTACCGTCATGTCTCTGTGTTTATAAAGTAGTCTGTGATGACTTGAATCACTGTTTATTTAGATTAATATGCTTTCATCCAAATTAGCTACGTGACAACTAAATCTGTCAATGCATCCATTAATTACAATACGGCTTCAGTTTATAGTCGTTTGCAGAATTTCCAAGTCCTGCTACTGATAATTTGATGCTGATGTCCTAAAAGATTGACTATTTATTTATAGCAATACTAAAGAAAAACATGACAAGTTGCTCAACATTTCTCATTTTAATGCAGTGGTAACTGCATACTAGAATACTGACGTTTTTTCTCGTAATATTACAACTTTAAACTCGTAATATTATGACTTTAAACTCGTAATATTACGACTTTAATCTCGTATTATTATGACTTTATTTTATACGACTTTAATGTTGTAATATTATGACTTTATTCCTGTAATTTAAAAATAATTTTAAAAAATCTCGTTGTGTGGCCCTAATACTCCGTCATACATATGCACACACAGTCATACATTCGACCTCTCACAGTCCAGCTAGGCAAGGTTGGTGGCATCAACTCATTCTCTCACTCTTTGGTAAGCTAGCAACAACCTGTCGTGTAACATGCTCAGCAGAAGTTTCATGTTTTACCACTGTACCTCATAACTGCTTAAGAATAAAAAGGAACAATGTTGAGGGAAAGATACGGAACCCGCGGGGGGTCAGTGGGAGAAAAAAAACAGCCGCTGGAAATCCGTGAGCACGGATTACTAAACTGAGCGAACGGATTACTAAACTGAGCG